TAACAAGATCTGTAGGATCCTAGGAGAGATCGTGTTTTTTAGAAGCGATATCCAATGATTGATGTAGATACCTACATGAAATGGTATTTGTCCATTATGAACCATTTTATTACACCTACTTGATCACATTTCCAAAGACATCCACATAATCCAATGTATTATTTTCCCTAATATTCGAGACAAAATCAATTTGTATGCAATATTGTTTTACATACAACATTTATTTAATATTTTTAATGTTATTATACAAGATGACTTCTAATTAATTTTTAATATGTGTTTGTATATATTCATTACTTGGTATGGGAGGCTCGAAAAGTAACAACAACTATCTATGAAGGTGTTTGATAAAATGAGATGTGTCATGGCCAACACTAAGCTCATTTTATATCATGATGGACTTCAAAAGGTTGGGGTTGAGTATTTTGAAGTGGCATTAGTGAAAAATAAGATTGTTTATTATAAAAGTGTTGGGATGTTAGTCCATCCATAAGCATCCCAGACTCATCCACAAGCATCTCATGTCCAATCATGAGCTAGGGTAATATTATTCCTCCTCATACCTATATGGATATTATAGACCCATCTTTAAGGTGGATGATTTGGGGTGATACTCTAAACTTGTCCACAAGTGTTTCAGGCTCTTTTATGAGCTAGGATGATTATTAAATGTAACTACATGTTATTATATGTTATAAAAATTATGAATAGATGCATAGTTAGTTTAATTTTAATAAAATATTATGTTATATTAATCATCAGTTTAATTTTATTACTTATGATCGAAGATGTTATATGTTACTTATGTGAATTATATTTTGATGCTCAAAAACTGATTATTTAAATTGTGTTAATTGTGAATTTTTGAGACAAGGAGTTAATAGACAAAGAAATTATCTCATGAAATGTCTCTTAGTCAAATCACATGTGACTTATGTATTACAATTGATATTTGCAACTTTTGAGTCATAAATAATGAATGCAACTCTCATGTCGTAGATGTTATGCATAACTTAATCAAGTGTGCTAGATTACTAAATTTTTTTTTACATGAACTATTTTGCTTTTTTGTTATATACTAAGTTCCCATAAATCTCATTTTTTAGGTTGTTATTCTATTTTTTTATTAGAACAATAAAATTTAATATCTAAGTATTTTCGATGTTCTATTTTAGAATACACACACAAACATAATGTCAATGTTGAAGGCAATTAGACAACAAACCAATTGATTAGTGTTTATGTACTAGCTATTTTTTAATGGATAAATATAATTGGTTATAAAGCCACACCTGCATCACTAATGAAATAATTAGCTAAAGCTTATATCTTTAAAAACTAAACAACTAATATGAATTCACAAACTCTGATATGTGGTTGAATATGAAATTCATGTTACAATGGTCTAAATTGAAAATTTATATGGGTGATCAAGTTGAAAATATCTTAGTTTTTTATTTACACCTAGCATTCTTTTGAAGATTACAATGTTAATTGTTTAAAATAGAGGAAATATAGTTTTATAATTGCCTACTCATAATCTCAATAGAAGTTTGTCTTTTTACCAAGAAAATAAAAGGGAAAGTGTGCATAACAAAACAGAATGAGCAATGTAATTGGCCCTCCAACTCAATATTTGAAAATCAAATTTAGAACTCCTTTTGTAATATTTTCCCTCTCATTTATTGTTTATTTTTTCACCACTAATGGTTATTTTAGATTTCTTCTTAAAATTTTCATCTATTATTCCTAATTCCTTAGTAGGCTATGGTTAAGGCTAGGAAATAAAGAACTCTCTCAGTTGTGAAAGTGGGCATGTTAGAATCTAGAATGAAATGGAAGAGGTAAACCTAGAATATCTTTACTAGAATTGGAGCGAGAAATAAAAAAATGTTTAAGATTCTAGTCGAGATAAAATTTATTTTACTTTTTGTTTTTTAAAATAGTATGAGGTATACTGACTATTTGGACCAGAATGAAATGAAATTGACAATCTTGTATAAGTAAGTTAAGTTAAAGTAATTCTTAAACCTTTTATAGGATCTACCTAACTTAAAGTTTGGGTTATGGGTAAGTAAGTTAACTCAAATTAACTTTAAAAATTTTAAAAAAAATCAAATGACCTTGTTATTAGATTTTGATTAGATCAACATATCATGAATTAACTCAAGTTTTTAACCGAGTTATATCAAATCAACTCCTCATTATTTTTTGTAAAACCAAACCCAAGCCAATTCACAAATTGACCAACTAGGCCAGACCAGGTTTATAACCGTGGTTTATTCTTATATAGAGACAGTATATAATATAGGTTTTGATTATATTAACAAACTAACTCCCCTTAACAATGTGTTAAGCTTTTGAGGTAAGATTATCTTTTCACTATATCATAATTGTTTTTTATTTTAAAATTGTATGAGGATAGATTGGTAATTTTATTATGTCGTAAAATAACTAATTTAACATTAGAATAAAATAATCTAATATATATTACTCAACGAAGATTTTCTATTTTTAATTTGTAAAATAATATTTTTACTTTGATGCTATTAAAAACAAAATCAATTGAACTCTCACGCAAGGGCTATTTTTGTCATTTTACATTGTTATTATTATAATTTTCATGGATGTTCAAAGACATTGTTGTAGATTATGTTTATTATATATATAAACCTGGTGGCGCATGGGGTGTGGACAACCTTCGTGTTGTTTGGGCGGCGCATTGGGAGTTGTCCAGCTATAAAACATTGTTTTTTAAGGTGATATTTGAAAGGTCTTGGTGCCCCAAACCAAATGAGGTAGCACGTGCGCCCAGATTTATGAAGGTTTAGTGTTGATAATTATTTTTTCTTCCCCCTTTTCTTCTTTCTTCCCATCTAGATTTTCATGTCAGCCCTTTAAAAATACAAGAACAACCCTTTACTTTGTTGGTTCTTCAAATATGGTCCCTTACCTTTTTATTATGATTTTTATATGAGGTAGCACGTGTGCCTAGATTTATGAAGGTTTGGCGTTGATGACTATTTTTTCTTCCCCCTCTTCTTCTTTCTTCCCATCTAGATTTTCAGTTAGCCCTTCAAAAATACAAGAACAACCCTTTAATTTGTTGGTTCTTCAAATCTGGTCCCTTACCTTTTTATTATGATTTTTTCATCTTGCATAATTTATTGAATTTGAACCTTGATTCTTTTGATTTGTATTGTTTTTTTGCCTGGAATCATTTTTTCAATTGATTTTATTTTACAATTTCACCCTTTTTTCCTTTATATTTAGTTCATTTTCTTTTGATTGTCAATTTTTTAGCCTTGACAAGTTTTTATTTTAAATCATAAATTATTTTATTTTATGATTCCACACTTCATTTTTTTTTATCAAATTTAATAGCTATTATTTTAATTGTGAATTTGTTTACTTAGAAAAGTTTTAAAAATTAATATTTTTAAATTGTCTCATAATAAACTTTTAAATTGAACCTGAATTTATGGTTTTATAGGTTGCGAGTTTCTAAAATTTGACTTGATTTTGGATATTTCCATGAATTTATTTGGTTTTTACAAAAAAAAAAAAAATTTTACTCTCTGTGATTTCTTTTATCTATAAAATTTGTTATCATTTTTTTAAGTGTTGTGTATTTTATTTTGCATCATTTTAAAAAAATTAAAATTGCATCCTCCTTTGATTTTTTTTAATTAAATTGTTTAATAATTAGGCTGCTTAATTGAATCCGGGTTAAAAATTTTATAAGTTATGAATTTTAGAGATTAGACAAAGTTTAAAAGTTTTGTTGGATTTGCTTAGATTTTTTTTTTTTAATCTGATGTTTTCATATTTTTTTATCCTCTTTTATTTTCTTCGGGGGGGTTGTTTTGTCATTTTTTTTTGTTTTGATTCTATTTAGTTAGCTCTCAACAATTTATTTCAATTTCATTCTTTATCATTTTTTAATTTATAAATAATCTATTAAATTACAAATATTTTTTAATTTCACCCTTAAGAATTTTTAATCTTTCAAATGGGGTTCTCATTTTTTTTAATTACAATTTATTTTATTTGGGATTATTTTTAAATTTCACCCCCTCGGTGTTTTTCTATCAAATTTTAACATCATTTTTTTTGCTATTTTTTTCTTTTGCAAGTTTTTATAATTAAGATTTTTTATATAATTTCATAATTCAAAATTAATTTTTTTAGAAATTAAGTTTTTTGATTGAACTCATGTTCAAAATTTCACAAGTTGCAAGTTTTAGAAAATAGACCAAATTTAAAAGGCTCATTTAGATTTGCTTGGGTTTTCTTCTCTCTTTTTTTTAAAATTTATAATATCCTTTTGTTTTTTTTGTTTTCTTATTTTTTTTATATTTTATTTTATTGGGTTAACTCTCGATAATATTTTTTAATTTCATCCCTATTATTTTTTAATTTATAAATAATCAATTAAATTATAAATGTTTCTCAATTTATCCCTTATGGTTTTTTAATCTTTTAAATTTGGTATTTATTCTTTTAATTACTATTTATTTTATATGGAATTATTTTGATTTTCTTTTTTCAAATTTCATCCTCCTTAGTTATTTTTCTCTCAAATTTTATTCTCATTTTTTCCCCTTCTTTTGCAAGTTTTTTATTAGTATTTTTTTAATGATTTTATCCTTTAAAATTAACTTGGCTAATAATTAAGCTTTATAATTGAACTCGAGTCCATAATTCAATAATTTATAAGTTTTTAAAATTAGATTAAGTTTAGAAGATTAGCTTGGTTTTTCTAAGATTTTTTTTAAGCAGATATTTTCTTTTAAAAAAAATGTTTCTTTTATTTTTTATGAGTTTTCTTTGATTAGATTAACATTGAATTGTTTGATAATCTAATTTCAGATGGATTGATATAATGTTTTTTTTATATATTATTTTGTTAGTTTATTTATTATTTAAACTTCTACTTGAATCATTAGTTGAAGAAGTTTATGTTTGATTTTTTTTATTTTAGTAATATATATATATATGTAGTTATTAATAGTAACTTCTATAGCACCTAATCTCTTGCTTCATTGCAAGAAACACAAACAAAAGGAAAGGGATAGAAAAAGTAAGATGTCATGCCATTAGAGGGTGATTGAAGAAAATCCACTGTCCATTTCTGTAAGCTTCTTTCTCTTTCTTTAATGTTACATTTATAAGCTTCACATGCTGTCAATCATTTTTTGTGCCTTTCAAAAGTTGTATTCGTTGTCGAAGGTGATAGCTTTTTTAACCCCTCAAAGAAGCTTTTCTCTCTCTCTCTCTCTGTCTTTTATCATTTGAGTCATGCCATTCTTAATCATTTTAGTCATTTTTGGCTTCTGGGTTCTCTCTTCTTTAACCTGGTTCTATGTTGTTTTCAATTTTAATCTGCATTATTGTATTTTTGTATCCTTTTGTTTTTGTTGATCTTTTTGTGGTTTTGGTTGCTGGGACTTCTTCATTGGAGGCAAAGCTATCATGTCTTTCCAATTTGTAAATCAAGGTGCCTCTATTTTCAATCCGTTTAACTCTTTAAAATATATCACATCTTTTTTTTGTTCTTTTTTGGTTTCATGCTCATAAAACAAGGGAAATGCAGAGTAATAGCATCGTGAATGCAGGTTTCTGTATGTTTTAAAAGTTGAGGAGCTAGTAAAAATGTTTTAGGTTTTACCTTTGGTCACTTTGTTTAGTTAAATGTATTGTCAAGCATGTTGCAATTTGAACTGCCAGGGCTTTGTTAGCGTTTAAGTTCTACACTTGTGGTGAGGGAAAGGGAATTCCACACGGGTGGCTTGATTTAATGTATCTTCTTTTTTGTTTTCTGTTTTTTTTTCAACTTTTTTAAGTCCTTTCGTTTTTTGCAATTTGAAGGATGGGGGATCATTTTGTGTTCCTGGTGGATCGGTTGCTAACTGAATCCACCCTTGAAGCTACTATTGAGAGTCAAAACCGATTGCGGCAAACCATGCCTTCAGCAAGTAAAGAAAATACAAAAGAATTTTCACCACGTTGGATGGATTTAGAATTGACTTCATTAGCAGGAACATCAGTAGAGTGTAGGATTTGCCATGAGGAGGAGGATGACATGAACATGGAGATGCCGTGTTCTTGCCGGGGCAGTTTGAAGGTCAGTTTTAGCTAAATTTGTGGAACCATTTATTTGAAAATCTCGGTATATGCTGTTAACAAGCAAAATGATTGTCTTATTTCTCATAGACCTTTTGTATACAGTTCTGATAAATCAAGGAAATACCTTACCTCCCTTGAAATTTTAATGTTTACTAGGCAAATAATTTGGACATTTTTGGTTAACAAATAAAGCAGAAATTATCTCCCTCAAATTCATGCACCTTGTGATTCTTTGTAAATTTTAATTCCTACATTTACCTCAGGCATTTTGATCTCTACTTGTTGCCAAAAATTCAAGTACTTGATTTATCATAATGCTTCTGATGCTTTCAGTTTAAGTCTTATGTTCAATTGATTGTTGAATAACTAAAGCTGAAGCACATTGTAAACTAAGATGTCCTGCAACAAAAATCTAGCATGGGTAAGCTACATGTCATTGAATTTAGATGGGCAATCTCAATTGATTGTTGAATAGCTAAAGCTCAAGTAAAGTGCATTGTAGTGTTGCAATTTAAGATGTCTCACAACACAAATTTAGCATGAGTAAGCTATATATTAGTAAGATGCCATGCCATTAGAGGGCGCAAGCCCCTGAGAATGGAGGATACTTGCATGGAGCAAACTTCGGTGATACTGTTGTATCACTTATCACATTAATTTCAAGTACATGTTGGAGGAAAATGCCACTAGCTGAATTCCTTATACATGTTGGAGGAAAAAGATACTGGCTGAATTCCTTATTCTGCCCTCTTTTAAGTTCCGTTGCTAGTTTCAGATGCTTCAAACAAGGTTACAAGTTTCTCTTTATTTTCTTTTGTTGCAGTATGCTCATCGAAAATGTGTTCAGAGGTGGTGCAATGAGAAGGGTAACACTATCTGTGAGATCTGCCATAAGGTGCACTGTTATATTATTTTCATGACCTCTGCATTTCATGCTGTGTTCCAATAACTTTGAAGGTGAAAAACATAAGCTTTCTAATAATTTTTTTCAATATTTGCAAAATTGAAGCAATTTGAGCCTGGTTATACAGCACCGCCCCCTTTGTTTTGTTATGGTGCTATTCCAATGAACTTCAGGTATATTTGTACTTTGCTAGATGTGTTCTCCAATCTTGGTTTCCTCATTTCTTATTGGGGCTTTGGTTCCTTTTCTTTAACAATAATGGTCCTAATCTGTTTGGAATTTTCTTGTTCAGAGGAAACTGGGAGATACCCAGAAGGGACCTGCACAATCCTCCATCCATAGCTATGGTTACTACTGACCATGAATTTTTGGACTCTGACTTTGATGAGCATTCAGCACCCTCTCCTAGGAGTGTGATGTGCTGCCGAATAATTGCTATTATAGTATGACTCTCTTTCTCCCCCCTCCCCTAGGACCGTGTTTGCCCATACGTGTATGCATTTGTTGCTTCATGTGTAGAACTTGATCTAACAGATTCATAATTTACTTCCAAATCCTCTGGTTCAGTTACTGTCAATATAACATTTTTTATTAATTTGACCCCCCTAAATATATGTGACGATTATAGCAAATGGTTTTATCAGCAGTTATATTGCTCTTTTATGTGTGTGAGAGCTCCAGGCGGTGGATGTCACCAAGCCCTTCTCTCAGCTTTTATGTAGAGAGTCCTTTCATATATCTGCCTAAGCTCAGGGAAATTATTAGGTAGGCTTAATCTACCACTTCATCCATAGCTCAGGGAAATTATTAGGTAGGCTTAATCTGCCACTTCATCCATAGACAAAGTCACAAAGCAAATCTATAAAAGCTAAAGAGACAAAATCATGTGACTGTAAAACATGACTTATGTTTATTGGCCAAGTCCATGGATGATGTGGTAAACTTAGTATACCTAATAATTTCTCAAACTCTAGGGCCAAACCCTTGTTCCCTGAGCCAACACATATAATTCAATATAACTGAGTTTTATGTCCTGTTGCTGAATTCTTGTCCAGTTAGAGAAAGATTCGTTAACTTATCAATCATGGACTCGTTTATTAAAATATCTGGTTGTGCATTAGCAAAAATAATGATATCTTATTTTCCTAGCTACAAGTTTGCCCCATGGCCACGTATTCAGACCAAGCACCTTTCCTACTCATTATCATTGTTGCATGTGTTTGTGACCTCATGTTTGTTTGGTCTCCAAGATCCTATGAGGACATTAATTTTCATTTAATTTGCAGTTTATGGTTCTGTTGGTTTTACGTCATACTCTTGCCATCCTAATTAGTGGAGCTGGAGATTACTCGATGACATTGTTTATGGTAAGGCTGGGCTCCATTGCTTGCTCTTCTTATAAAAAATTACAACTTGGTTTGCCCAATGGTGCAGAGGAAAAAAAAAAAAAAACTCAACCTGTGTTTTTTATGCAGTTACTGATATTGAGAACAGTTGGGATTCTTCTGCCTGTTTATGTCATGGTCAGAGCATTTACTGCTATTCAACATCGGGGTCGGCAGCAGGTTAGTGAAGATTAATGCATTTTGTTGACTTTGACTGGACAGTGGTTTAGGTGGCGGAAGCATCGAATTCTAGAAGTTACTTTAGCAATGAGTTTCAGGGAGTGCTTTTTCATTAGTCTTGGCCGGTTTTCTTAAATCTTTTTATGCTGCTTTCATCTAGTCACTAATCCTATCTAAATGATGCTATCCAGAAAGTTGCAAAGTGCCTCGAGCCATCACACACATATAGCTAAGCTTAGTTCCTTGAGCCATAGGAATTATGAATTCGATTCCAGAACTTGCAAAACATAGCATTCCAGTGAGCTGTGTAGTTTGTCTTTCATCAGTGATTGTTAAAGATATAAACTAATTGTCTTATTTTTTTGTACGCAATAGGATCCTCATTTTCCCCTTGCTGAATCAGATGAGGAAAATGAGTTGCCGCAACTTCAGACTCATTCGCACATTGTTCATATTCAGTGATCATTGCAGCCACCTTAAACATAAAAGGATTGCAAATGTACAGAAGAGCAAGTCAAAAGTGTAGTGTCTAAATTTCAATGATGCTGTGTTGAAGTTTGTAGCATCACAGTAGAGACAATCAACTGCTTTGCTTTTTGTGTGTGTGTGTGTGTGTTGGTTCACATCAAATCCTCAGGCATTCGTCATTCCAATCAAAATGAATAGAATTCAGAGCTAGGAAAACCATGTACACCTACATTGGTATTAAACAGCTATTTTCACTGCTGCTTACCAGATACGGAATCCAGAAACAAGAGTTGAAAAGGGTGTCTGGTATCTAAAAAGTAGAGTTAGTGCTAGCAAATACCATGTTCCTTGATGTGAGAATTGTGATCCTTGTTTCTGAAAGAAAATGTGAGGTGTTAATAGCCTTGCACTATTTTATATTTCTGCTTTTTGAAAAAGAAAATCTAGAATAACAACTTAAGAAGAAGAACAAGCCCGGATCCTTCAAACTGAACTTTACAAACCACTTCTGAAATTGTCAAAATTCGTATTCTTTATATGGATACCACCCAATTCCAGAGGTGATTGTCCGGGCACTGAATCACTTCTGAAACTACCGAGTCATTAATTTGGGGGATATGAAGATGTTTTTGAAGCATGTGGTTATGATTAGTTAATAGTGGATCTATAATTGGGATTGAAAGGATATTTATAGATCAATGGAATAGGATAAAGCTTAATAATATTTCCAGGTTGCAGTTTATTTAAAAAGTAAAAAATATTTTAGAGAGATAAACTACTTAAAAAGAAAATATTAAATAATAAAATTTTAAATTAATGTTTTCATGTGAAGATCTATTTTAGTAGAAATTTGTGTTTTTGTGCTTTTTTTTTTTTTTCTTATATACATATATTGTTTTTGTTTGCGTCACTATCTCAGTAGCAATAGTATCAAGGTTAACAATGATACTATTTTTATAAACTTATTTAACTTTTTTAAAAAAATTTGATTAAAAAAAAAATAAGAATCCATTTGACATGATTTTTTGATGCCTGGCGAGTTTGTAGAATATGATAGTTCTGCATATTCAGTTGTATGAAACTCATACCAAATGATTCGTCAAGTTCTACAAGAGTCGTCTAACTATATTTAGCTAGGTTTCAAAAGACTTAAATTATGTTTGAAATATGTTTTTTTTTTAGATAATTTTATTATTTTGCTTTTTATTTTGAATTAGGCTTGGATCGGTCTCCATTTCTAATTTTCCTACATTGTAAAAGTCGTTGCTGGCCTATTTAAGAAATCATAAATCTATTTTATTGTTTTATATGGAAATATGGTGGTATTATTTTTAAAATATTTTTATTTTAAAAAAATTATTTTTAATATTAAAATATCAAAATAATTTTAAATAAAAAAAAATTAATTTTAAATAAAAAATTAAAATAAATTAATTTTAAATAAAAATATTTTTAAAACACAAAAACAAAAACAAAATCAAAATTATAACCATAATATAATAGTGTTTTTCATGAATAATTTATGAAAAAAAGAGCGATTTATCTTTTTCAAAGAAAAGATGTGTTTTAATTTGAAATTCATAATTTAAGCTCAAAGCAGTATTTTTTTTATTTAAGTTAAAAGTTATTTTTATCCAAACATCCATCCTTATGATTTTTTTGAGTTAGGAGTTGAAAAATAACTTCAAATAATTTAGAAAAATTATATCAAACATAACCTAAGAATGTTTGGCTACAAATAAATCTCAACTTAAAAGACAGATTGTCTTAAAACTAAATCAAAATTTTTATTTAATAAAATATTAAAATTTCTAAACTTATAAATTATGTTTGTACCATATACCTTTTTCCAAAAAAAAAAAAATAGTCATTTTTAGCTCAATTTTATCACAAATTATGTGTGAAAAACAAGACTGTTAAAGTTGATAAAATCTGAATAATGAAACAATCGCAATAAGGTCAGGTTATCTAGAAGTGATTGCACCCTGAAAACATAAACAAACAGCTTTAGAAGAAGTACGTAACTTTGCTGCAACACAAAACACGAACAACAGGCACGCCTAAAGATGTTGCTGATGAAGAGAAACAAACAAAGATGGTAGAACTGTTCATGGACATTTTTATTGCAAAACAACACCATTAAAGGCAAGACAAGCACACCACACCCATGGAGGTACCAAACTTGCAGTAGACCATATCACTGCAACATGAATAGTAACCCTCCATGACCCACCCTCCTAGGGTTCAGGTAAACTCAAACCAAAGACTAAAGGAAAGAGACATCATTTATTCATACCGCAAACATCATGACAGACTCGGGCTCGGGAATTAAGTAAGAGAAAGGCACATTATTCTTCCTCGGTTTCGGACTCAGCATTCTGCAGCCATTCAATGACGGGTTTGGCATTCTTCCAAATCTGAGAATCTTTGTTGCTTCCCATTAGCCCTTCTTGATACCACTGCACAATGTATTCTTCCTCCAGGACATCAGCATCGTAGAGTGTTTTCAGGATAAGAGCCACTTCCTTCAGTGCACTTGAGCCTGACTTCCCACAGAATGCCCCAATTGCTCGAAGCAGAAGCAACTGTGATCCCTCATCCTGAGTGACAGCAGCAGCCAGATAGTTCTTCTTCTTGGCAACCTCCTTCACAAATCCCTTTGCAACACCCTCAAACAATGCATCAAACAGAGCATCCATCTTTTCCTGAGCAGACCCAGTGAGAGCGCTGAGAGTGGACTTTAACTGGCTTGCTGAAACTCCTTTCCTCAGGCTTAACTTCAACTCATTGACAAGAGTTTCATGGGTACTTGGGCTCCCATTCTCGGCTTTTGGTTTTTCCTCCCGGGCTGGTGAAGCAACTTTTGGACTGCCATTTTCTTTGCTAAGTGCCCTTGCATTCTTTTCTGTCTCTTCTGTTGAAAGCATGACCATATCAGCCGTCGCAGCACTCAACTGTTCTTGAATGCGCTGGCGAGCTGCCTCAAGAGACGTATCAGTTTGCCACTGGACATCATCATCATCATCAACAACAACCTCTTCCTTCTCATCAACCTGGCTGTGAGTTGGTGACATACGTTCCTCATCGGAGCTGTTTGCTTTCTTCTTTGTAGAGCTAGCTTTTGCAGGGCCATCCTTTAAAGAAGATCCCTTCTTCTTACCTTCTTTCTTCAGTTTCTTCAGCTCCTCGTCAGCAGCTTCACCTTCCTTAAGACGCTCCTTCTCAGCCCTCCTCAATGCCTTCTTGTCCTTTGATCCCTTCTTTGATTCAGGAGGGTTCTTCAGAATGAAAGTGGTGAGCTTGTCCCTCATATCCACATCAGATACAAAACCACAGGCAGCACATTTTAGTTGAAGCATCTGGCTTTTAGTGATGATTATCTCAGTTTCAGGATTTCCACAGCCATAACATTGAACATATTTCTTGATGAAGTTCTCAAGAAGCCCAGCAAGTTTTGCAGTTTCATGAGAACCATTGACAAGTGAAGTCCCAGTTTTCTCATCAAACTTGGATTGGGCACCAAGCTCACAACCAAAATACTTTGTGGTGTAAGAAGCTGGCCTTGCCAAAGCCTTTGCAATGTCAACCATGTTGACAATATTTGTTTTGATGCCATTTCCTCGGCCCTCGACTTTGGTAACCATCCTGGGCATCTTATACCTATAGAAGGCATCATCACTGTTTGAAGCCCCAATATTCTGCAAAGCCATCTTGATCACTGTAAAACAGACTCACAAAGCAAACTTAGAAGATGTCACTGAAAGCCAATGCTAGAATGCAAAGAGAGGGTAGCAGCTATGATGTCTTCTGAAGATTCTTCAAAAAGAGAAGGCTGTTTTTCAGCAATCAGGTAAGGTTGCACCCAACTGCAACCACTAAACTCAGGGTATCCTTTAAATGGTCCGAGATGCATACAGCCAACGTTATCAAACAAGGGTCTGCCCTTTTTCCTTAATGAAGGAGTATACTCTCCAAGCAATCCAATCTCTCCCAAAAACGAAATGGCCTGTATGGACATAAAAGAAACCTCAACTTTGACACACTTCACCCTGAAAATCTGCAGACAGCACCACCACCACCTGCAGGTTCCTGAAAAGAACAACAACAAGAACAGAATTACAGCCAAGATAAACACGGGCAAACACAATTAACAATGCCAATAGCAAAAGAAAAAATATAAATTACAACAACTACAAAGCCTCAATACCAAAATAGTTGGTGTCCACTATACCATCATCTTGTGCTCAAAATAACACTGAGCAGAAAAGGCCAAACACAAACACACACACACACACACACACCAAAACAAAAACAAAAAAGCCTAAATCTAGCATCAGACATCACTGCAATAGAAGTCTTCGAACTACAGTCCAAACCCTCATCTTAGTTCCAATCAAATTGATCTTGCTCCCCTTTCAACATTATCATAACACACATGAAAAAACGATTCCCTAACATCACAGCCATCACTATTTCAAAACCAAGAAATAGAGCTCATGCGCATCTAGAGCTTAAGAAACAAAAATCCTTACAACGGTTGCAGTTCACCCATCATCTAACATCACCAAAGATTCACTTAATCTACACAATAAACAATTGCCCTCGTTTTTTTTTCAACATTAATAACAAAAAATTAGGAAAACTTTCAAATTAATCATAGGTTTTTTTATTAATAATAACGAGCGAAAATAGATGCTTAATCAAAACATAACATTAATAACCAACTTAAAAAAAAAAAAAGAATTAGTAAAAATCTCAAATAATTATCGATATTTTTTTTATTAATCTAACTTCGATTCTATTAGATCTGACATAAAAATAAATTGTTTGATAGCGGATTAAAACAGAGAAAAACAACCGATCAAATCCAATAACAAAAGCAAACAATAGACGATAAATAATCAAAATAAATAAATAAAAAGAACAAAATTTAAATAGAACTAAGAATCAAGCAAACCCTAGCTGCTTACGATATCGACGCTTGTTCGTAGAGAAAAAGAAAGCGAATTTGGCTTCTTGAGAGATATAGCGAGAGGCGTCTGGGGTGCTAGGTTTTTGTGCTGTGTTTTTGCTTATATACAGTTATATGGGCGAGGCGGTTGCGGTTGTTTTATTTTTTTATTTTATTTTTTTTTCTCTAGATTGTTCTATTTATTTATTGACCGATTTCTTTTTTTCTTTTCTTTTTTTAATTGGTTATAATTTTTCTTTCTTTCTTATTTCGAGACTCCGTCTTTTTCTTTTTTTCACATTAGTATTTCGGGAAAGATATATAAAATAATTTTATTATCCTCACGAGTTGACCAAACATCTCCTTAATATTTTCATGAAATTAAATATTAACCTAATCATTATAAAGTTAAAAAAATCACATAATCATATATATTACACTAGACCAATAAGGGTATTTTGGTCTA